TACTGATCTATAGTAAATTTAATATATAGGTTGTGACCTACTCATATATTTTTATAGTAAATTTAAGTATCGAACTGATATCAAAATGATATTGAAGTGGTATTGTTAGGAGCCCTAGGAACAACATATCACCCCCATAAATTGCATCTAGAGGCTCCAGCTGTTGACAAATGAGTTGAATTAAAGAAATTTATACTTTGCATACATTCTCAACTTGTAATGGTTCTTTATGATTTAATAAATAAACAATATTAACCTGATTGCAGAAAGATTTTTAAAATTCAAATCAAATTAATAAATTTTAATACATATCAATTTTTATCTAAATTGATAATAATTGGTAGGAAAAATTATAATCAATATATATTTTGAGTATTATTAATTGATACATATTATCTTATTTATTTTGTTGATAAAACTTGTACTTACTAAACCCATTATATTTAATAAAACAAGATGTATATCGGTTATTTAAAAATTTTTTTTTGATTTAATTGAAATTATTACTTATCATATTAAATTTTTTAAACAAAAATATAATTGCAATATTTTTTTACACTTGGTATATAAATAAAAATTTACTAATAAATTATTAACCAATTTTACTAAAAAACTAAAAAATTGAACTAAAAAAATAACATGTGACGATTACATATTTATTACGTATCACATGTACAATAGACAAAATATAATTTCTTCCTTAATCAAAATTGTACATTTAAGAAACAAAAGAGTTGTATGGTTTTTTTTAGACTTAAAATCACTTGCATTTTTCAGTCCAATATTGGTATATCGTTGAGTTCGTAGTGGAAAAATGGGTAACCAAAATATGTTCTGAGTCCTTTATAAGATTTTTTTTAACACGCTTGATAACTTTTCTCTTTTATCAAACCATGCATTAGATAGACTATTTATTAATGCTTTTATCAAGTGCAGTCGACAAATATGTCGTTTCTTGGAGTATCAAGACCTTACTGCCCTCTGTTGTGTTAATAAAACGATTAATGAATTCTTGAGTAATCCCAAGAGTTCTAATGATATTTGGTGCAGTGCTCGGCATAAATTCAGTACGGTACTATATACAGATCCACCTGAAGGAATGTCAGAACGTGAATTCGCAAAACTTTTTAGTTCTGCCAGCAAGTGTCAATGTTGCGGTAGAACGGATAAACGAGTGAGAATTTATTGGATCCCTCGAGTAAGATCATGCGTCCAGTGTTTGGAAGACAACGCCATCAGGTAACATATGGAAAGATCATTTGCAAAAATTAATGCGAAAATTCATTTTACACCTTTATCTAGTATTGATGATATCGAATATTGGAAAATCGACCCAAAAGTTTTAAAGGTTACACCCTGCGTGTCTAATGAACATGAATTTGGAGACGGAAAGGCTTATTATTGGGTTCCTCATCTTCTCTATTTATCAGAACAATTCCATAGTCTTGATATGTACAATGAAGCATCTATAAGTAGATGGATCGAAGATAAGAAGAAGTTATTACATAGACTAATAAACGACGCACTTGAACGGCACCGTATGCTATCTAGAACGACATTCTCCATATTCTACCGAGAAGAAAGGGTAGAGAATATGGATGACTTTAACGGTATAGACCCGTTGTCTATAAAGACGTATGATCGAGTTAATTTGGGGGTGCCATCATTAAAGAAAGTAGTTGAACCTACTGAGGATTGCTTTGAACCACAATCATCTGAAGAATCAGAAACAACGACTGAGCAGGCTGTTGAAATGAAAGCAGGTGAAATGATGAAGTTAGGACTTGGGCATAAACCTAAGCAAAAAAAGAAAAGGAGCAGAAATAAAAAGATGAAAATTCAAGAAAAAAATAAGATCAATTCCTCTGAAAAGAAAAAACAAAATAAAGGGACTGCTGATATTCAAGAAGAGCCAATAGCTAAAAGAACAAGATCTCAGAGAAAGAAGAAGGCTGAATCAAAACGGAGTAAAAAAAAATCAAAAAAACATGCACCTACTGCTTCAAACGAACCTATAAATCCAAATGCCAACTTTACAGGAGGACCTGGACTATTCAACAATGTTGGATCATCTTTGTTTCCTTTTCAAGTCGACAATACTTCTGGTCTATCAGTATTTCCGCAAGGGAACTCCAGCATAAATATTACCAAGTCCAAGCGTAGAGAAATATTGGTTGGTTTGCGCCAATATACATTGACAAGTAACACCTCACAAGGAACATATGGAATTAGAACTGACGAGCCAATTTACGAATTTCTCCCAATGTGTCATACATTCAAAGTTCCTCCACCCGAAAACAATTTATGGTTGCCTTACTCTCCACCATTTTTGATTAATGTGATTCAAATGATTCGTTACGAAGCTATGACCATGTCTCAGATGTTCTTTCCGTACCAGCGACCAGGGAATGTTTTTACACTGGCCGGAGCTATTGCACATCGATTTAATAGATATCCAGTTTTCCAATGCAAGATTTGCAAACTTTCACAGGTTGACTTGATTCAACAAGTGAAAAACCATGTTGCAGTGATTCATCAAGTTTACGAGGAGTTACCATCAAATGCAATAGAAGTGAACGAATTAAAGTTGATCGATTATTTAGTTGAAGGTTTTGACATTTGAAAGCGCGATATGGTCTGAACCATTTGTTCAAGGTTCGACAAAGGGGGATGGTAAATTAATGTATTCAAGAAATTACGCTTTAACAATATCAATAAATGCTACAGAGTCAATCTGTTTTGTAATTTTTATTTATAGCGTTACTTCTTTTGCATTATCATTGCCAATCTTTTCTCGCGTCTCCTACGCGTCTTGTATCTAGCCTTATTCCTTTTTAGACAGGCAATGCGATTCTCCAAAAAGCTCCTTTTTTTCGAGGATTTCGGGCGTATCGAAGTAGAGACTGAGCATAAATAAAAATTTTGCAGTGTTAGCGTGTTAGTTGTACACTTCAAACATTGTAGCAAATCGATTTCGTTTGGCTCTGCGCATGTAAAGAAATAAATGTTATACACACCATTGCAATTACTCTCCTGTTTTACTTCCTTCTCCATTTCTCCTTGATGGCACAAGCCATTATTTACCGATAAATGTGCAGGAATGACAGATGGTGTAGTGTCTATTACAGCGACTGGCGTGTTTTGCTTTTTGATTTTTTTATTCTTTTTGAACGTGACGCGAGATTGGTTCTTTAATTCTGTTATGTTATGTTCTTGATAAAGGATTTGCGGTGGCAACAATCCGCGAGGATAATCTAGACGACCTTGCGCGGTGAAATTAAAACCAAGGTTTGGAGCCACGCTTGAAGCAAGGGGAGGACTTGTATAATAGATTATTCCTTGCTCGGCGTGATCACTTTTAAAATCCGAGCATGGCCTTCGAGAGCGTTCTGGTGGATCCTTACTATGAGGATAACCTAATGGAACCAACGAACGCTCCGTAGCAAAAGTAGATGTTCGAATTGGAAGAGGGTTTGCTTCACAAAAAGCTTGGAAGTCAGAATATGGGTACTTTTGATCTTTGGTTCGAAAAGAGGCTTCCGTCATTTTTTTACTGTTTTACGGTCTGAGATTTATTCTTTCGCATGATGACAACAAATTTAAATATCAATAAAACATTCAGTTTTCATTTATTATCGATTACCTTATCAAGCTACTAACTAATGTTGAATCTGTGTAACTATTGAAAATAAATATAAATCTTGGTTGGAAAGATAATTGCGAACTTCAACTTAATAAAGAGAATTACGCGATCACAATATATTACACAATGGATTACAATTCTCAAAGTAAAGAAGATTTCATGTACTCCTTTTGTTTAACCAAGGATTTGGAT